TGTCATACTTGATGGTAGAGATGTATATGCCATACTTGATGGTAGAGATCTATCAGTCATACCTGATGGTAGAGATGTATCTGTCATACTTGATGGTAGAGATGTATATGTCATACTTGATGGTAGAGATGTATCTGTCATACTTGATGGTAGAGATGTATATGTTATACTTGATGGTAGAGATGTATCTGTCATACTTGATGGTAGAGATGTATATGTCATACTTGATGGTAGACATGTATCTGTCATACTTGATGGTAGAGATATATATGTCATACTTGATGGTAGAGATGTATCTGTCATACATGATGGTAGAGATGTATATGTAATACTTGATGGTAGAGATGTATATGGTATACTTGATGGTAGAGATGTATTTGTCATACTTGATGGTAGAGATTATCTGTCATACTTGATGGTAGAGATATATATGTCATACCTGATGGCAGAGATGTATATGTTATACTTGATGGTAGAGATGTATCTGTCAGACTTGATGGTAGAGATGTATATGGTATACTTGATGGTAGAGATGTATTTGTCATACTTGATGGTAGAGATTATCTGTCATACTTGATGGTAGAGATATATATGTCATACTTGATGGTAGACATGTATATGTCATACTTGATGGTATAGATGTATCTGTCATACTTGATGGAAGAGATGTATCTGGCATACTTGATGGTAGAGATGTTAATGTCATACTTGATGGTAGAGATATATATGTCATACTTGATGGTAGAGATTATCTGTCATACTTGATGGTAGAGAAGTATATGCCATACTTGATGGTAGCGATGTATATGTCATACTTGATTGGAGAGATGTATCTGTCATACTTGGTGGTAGAGATGTATCTATCATACCTGATGGTAGAGATGTATCTGTCAGACTTGATGGTAGAGATGTATATCTCATACTTGATGGTAGACATGTATCTGTCCCCCCCGATGGTAGAGATGTATCTGTCAGACTTGATGGTAGAGATGTATATGCCATACTTGATGTTAGAGATCTATCAGTCATACCTGATGGTAGAGATGTATATGTAATACTTGATGGTAGAGATGTATCTATCATACTTGATGGTAGAGATGTATTTGTCATACTTGATGGTAGAGATATATATGTCATACCTGATGGCAGAGATGTATATGTTATACTTGGTGGTAGAGATGTATATGTCATCCTTGATGGTAGACATGTATTTGTTATACTTGATGGTAGAGATTTATCTGTCATACTTGATGGTAGAAATGTATATGTCATACTTGAGGGTAGAGATGTATCTGTCATACATGATGGTAGAGATGTATATGTCATTCTTGATGGTAGATATGTATCTGTCATACTTGATGGAAGAGATGTATATGCCATACTTGATGTTAGAGATCTATCAGTCATACCTGATGGTAGAGATGTATCTGTCAGACTTGATGGTAGAGATGTATATGTAATACTTGATGGTAGAGATGTATATCTCATACTTGATGGTAGACATGTATCTGTCCCCCCCGATGGTAGAGATGTATCTGTCAGACTTGATGGTAGAGATGTATATCTCATACTTGATGGTAGACATGTATATGTCATACTTGATGTAGAGATGTATATGTTATACTTGGTGGTAGAGATGTATCTATCATACCTGATGGTAGAGATGTATATGTAATACTTGATGGTAGAGATGTATATGTCATACTTGATTGGAGAGATGTATCTGTCATACTTGGTGGTAGAGATGTATATGTCATCCTTGATGGTAGACATGTATTTGTTATACTTGATGGTAGAGATGTATCTATCATACTTGATGGTAGAGATGTTAATGTCATACCTGATGGTAGAGATGTATATGTCATACTTGATGGTAGAGATGTATCTGTCATACTTGATGGTAGAGATGTTAATGTCATACCTGATGGTAGAGATGTATCTGTCATACTTGATGGTAGATATGTATCTGTCATACTTGATGTATCTATCATACTTGATGGTAGAGATGTTAATGTCATACCTGGTGGTAGAGATGTATATGTCATACTTTATGGTAGAGATGTATATGTCATACTTGATGGTAGATATGTATCTGTCATACTTGATGTATCTATCATACTTGATGGTAGAGATGTTAATGTCATACCTGGTGGTAGAGATGTATATGTCATACTTGATTGTAGAGATGTATCTATCATACTTGATTGTAGAGATGTATCTATCATACTTGATGGTAGAGATGTTAATGTCATACCTGGTGGTAGAGATGTATATGTCATACCTGATGGTAGAGATTTATATGTCATACTTGATGGTAGAGATTATCTGTCATACTTGATGGTAGAGATGTATCTATCATACCTGATGGTCGAGATGTATATGTCATACTTGATTGTAGAGATGTATCTATCATACTTGATGGTACAGATGTTAATGTCATACCTGATGGCAGAGATGCATATGTCATACTTGATGGTAGAGATGTTAATGTCATACCTGGTGGTAGAGATGTATATGTCATACTTGATGGTAGAGATGTATCTGTCATACATGATGATAGAGATGTATCTGTCATACCTGATGGTAGAGATGTATATGTCATACTTGATGGTAGAGATGTCATACTTGATGGTAGAGATGTGTATGTCATACTTGATGGTAGAGATGCATCTGTCATACTTGATGGTAGAGATGTCTCTGTCATACTTGATGGTAGAGATGCATCTGTCATACTTGATGGTAGAGATATATATGTCATACTTGATGGTAGAGATGTCTCTGTCATACTTGATGGTAGAGATGTCATACTTGATGGTAGAGATGTCTCTGTCATACTTGATGGTAGAGATGTCTCTGTCATACTTGATGGTAGAGATGTCATACTTGATGGTAGAGATCTATATGTCATACTTGATGGTAGAAATGTATATGTCATACTTGATGGTTGAGATGTATCTGTCATACTTGCTGGTAGAGATGTATATGTCATACTTTATGGTAGAGATGTATATGTCATACTGGATGGTTGAGAGGTGTATGTCATACTTGATTGTAGAGATGTATCTATCATACTTGATTGTAGAGATGTATCTATCATACTTGATGGTAGAGATGTTAATGTCATACCTGGTGGTAGAGATGTATATGTCATACTAGATGGTAGAGATGTATCTGTCATACTTGATGGGAGAGATGGATCTATCATACTTGATGGTAGAGAAGTATATGTCATACTTGATGGAAGAGATGTATATGTCATACTTGATGGTTGAGATGTATCTGTCATACTTGCTGGTAAAGATGTATATGTCATACTTGATGGAAGAGATGTATATGTCATACTTGATGGTTGAGATGTATCTGTCATACTTGATGGCAGAGATGTCATACTTGATGGTAGAGATGTCATACTTGATGGTAGAGATGTCTCTGTCATACTTGATGGTAGAGATGTCTCTGTCATACTTGATGGTAGAGAGGTATCTGTCATACTTGATGGTAGATATGTATCTGTCATACTTGATGGTAGAGATGTCATACTTGATGGTAGAGATGCATCTGTCATACTTGATGGTAGAGATGTCTCTGTCATACTTGATGGTAGAGATGTCTCTGTCATACTTGATGGTAGAGATGTTAATGTCATACCTGGTGGTAGAGATGTATATGTCATACCTGATGGTAGAGATTTATATGTCATACTTGATGGTAGAGATGTCTCTGTCATACTTGATGGTAGAGATGTCATACTTGATGGTAGAGATGCATCTGTCATACTTGATGGTAGAGATGTGTATGTCATACTTGATGGTAGAGATGCATCTGTCATACTTGATGGTAGAGATGTATTTGTTATACTTGATGGCAGAGATGTATATGTCATACTTGATTGGAGAGATGTATATGTCATACTTGTTTTCTCTGACATTATAGTTTGTGTTATGTCCTTCTTTCTCAGTGGATTCAAATCGAATTGAAGAAAACATAACACGCCACGAAGTATTAAATAAATGAGACACATGCTGCACAGACACAGTTAAGTAAGCCGCTCACAAGGTAGGGATACATCAACCTAGTATATGTACGTCACCATTAGGCGGTTTCGCAGCTTAACATCGTGTTATAATTATATTGAATGATACGTACGTTCGGAATAGTTTGTGCCATCCAGAAAGCCATGGCTCCTCCAAAACTCAAAGAAACTATACCAATACCATCTGATCGTACTTCTGTTAAATTAGCAAACCATTTCGCAGCTTCCTGTGTATCGAATTTATAATCATCGTTAAAAATCAGGCACGCAAAACATATAGATTCCGTCCTCTCAAAAACACTAGGCCTACTGTTAGGAGGCACGGTAGCCTAGTGGTAGGACGCCGGGCTCATGACCGAAGGGTTGCGGGTTCGAGTCACGTCACGGCACTATGTTGTATCTTTGAGCAAGATACTTTACTCCGCTTGTTCCAGTTTAACTATCTGTAAATGAGTACGTGGTTGGGCAATGCTAGAACTGTTGAAGGCTAGTTGTGAACGCCGAAATGGCAGCACCGGCTGTATGTCCCCCAGGGAGTTGAGAAAGATATCGGCTGGTTGCAAAGACTCTATAACCACGGATAATACTTTGTGAATCGCTTTGAGACGTCCTACGAACTAGGTTGTGATAAGCGGTATATAAGAACCTCGAACTATTATTATCATTATTTAATAAAATGTGCAAAATTATTATAATTGTGACATGTAACCTCATTCACATGAATAAAGTGTTACGTTGTCTTATTCGGCCATATGTACTAGCCTCGTCGGTAAATACACCCATAATAAAGGCTAGTACCTGCGATTCAGCAAAGCACCGAAACAGTCTCTATCCTAAAACATGTATTATATTGGTGAGATACATTAATCATGCCAATTAGCATACCATGCACTTTTCTAAATGTGTATTCTAGTTATGTCTACAACTATATTACATGTATTACATCCTTCTTTTCTGTAACCAAAATATTTTAATTTTTGATATACACACGAAACACATTCATTTCGAATTTTGATAACGTGCTTGCGCAGTTGAATTCGATTCTATTATGATTTTTTTTTAACATGTGGTACGTTATAATCACCTCAATATAGCTGAGTTCAATGTCCAACATTGATTGTGGCAGACCGTTCCCGTGGGCGTAAGACAAGGAAAGGGTGACGAACCCATGAGATGCAAGAAGAGCCGCCCGTCCCTCTACGATATCCACCAGGCCGCCGTACATATCTATTATCCCCGGGAATAGACCAGGCCCTGTGGTTAAATGTCGTATAAAATACTTGAAAATTGTATGGATTAGAAATTAAAACTTCTGTTTCCTAAGGTCATTGTTTTAAAAGCATACCATTAACATGAACTACCATTATTTGAACCAGTTAAAAAATGACCAATATATCTTTTTTGGACAACACGAATGATTACCAACTTTTACAGAGACAACAGGGAATATCAGAAAAAATCTATATTATTTCATAACTGACCCATTTTACCATGTCATACGGCTATTTCATAAATGGTATTAAACACGCGAAATAAAGCCTAGAGGTGCTGCGATTGGTCAAAAGCGTGGGAGCCTACGCCACTACATACAAGTACTAATTCTATACCACATGATGCATTTACTATTACATCAGATAATTTTAAATGTTTATTTTGTCATTATTTTTTTCATTGCATTTAAAACTATTCATTTTAAAAATAAAAAACCAATAAATGTAGAACTACTTTGCGCTGGGCGGAACTGGCGACACTACTATGATCGTAGTGCTTTGGTTTTTACCCAATAAATCTAGAGTCAGCTGATAACACATATTTGTATTGATTCTTTTTTAAATAGAATCTTCTATTTCTCAATGTGAATGATCAGCAATTTCCAATACTGCCATCATAAAATGTTTTACTGAGAACATAAAAGCTCAGTTTATTTATTATGCTAATGAGAAAAATAGCCATTCCATATATTGATCGCCGGTGTAAGAAAAACTTCTTACCTAAAATGCACTTATTTGAAAAACCTATATCTGTAATAAACTCAACGTTAAACTGGTGTGTTGTTGATAGAACAAATAAACCTAAGATAGAGTAAATCAGTACAAAACACCGAGTAAAATGCCTACCTTCTGGCAAGAACAGAGTGCCTTGGATTCTTGGATGTTTGATGGGTATTCGTCTTGTATTTTGAGATTTGAACATTCGTTTATGTTCAACCGATGCCAATACTTTTGTTCTGTCTTTGAGATAATCACCAGGACTGTCTGATTCTGGGAATACGCTGAAGGTAATCGTTCTAGGTTCGATAGCTCTGCGTTGGAACATGCGATGATGTGCCGGTAACCATGGTACAGCTACCATACTCCAAAGTAATCCGGCAGGATCAATCCCTGTAGACGAAATACATCAGTTAGAATCAATAAAAACGAATGGGCAAAGTCTTACCAAAACTTACAGATAACACGCGATGCTTTCAATTAGGCAAATATAATGTTAAGTATTTGGCAACTTTTTTGTTGAATTTGGCAAATGTAAATTTGAGTACTTACAGAAAATGCATGTCCCCGTTGAATTGCTGCTCCAGAATCTGATTTTAATTAGTACTGTATAAGGATTGTCTGAATGCGTCCTCTTGACCAATGAATTGTACTATTGTCATAGCTTCAAAAATGGTATTTACTCATAAGAATAAATCAGTGGAGTCGTTTAACGACTGGTAATAAAACGTCATGACATCAACTTTATGATATTATTATAACCTTACTGGAATATTTAAAAATGAAAATGAAATCCCCGTCTTCTAAAGCTAGACACCGATCTACATGTCCACGGGCTGTTGGATGTAAACTATGTTTCGGATCAAGTTTCCGCGATTCAGCTGACCGAAACTTACAACGTTGCCGACACTAAGTTATTGCTCAAAATATCTAGGATGGGAAACTGAGAATACTGGACTTTAGTCGATATAGTTTCAACGGAAATCTGTGTCTCGTGTATGGATAATGTTCAGGTACATATTCAATATTACACAACTGGAAGGGCAATAATAAACCTTTTTTTAACTATTATATTATATTGAATGTCCTTACGAAGCCATGGACGGCTTATTTTTAATAAGGTCCTTTATTATAGGGCAGCCATCGAGATAAAGTAAAAAAAAAACAAAAAAACTCACGAAGGCCTATGAAAGAATAAAAGAGAAAATTGGGGGAGTCTTATGATAAAGATCGAATAAAGAAGTTCTTAAAGAAAGAAATAAGCAAATACGAAGACAAAAACATCAGTGTTTTAGGCGTTACTCAAAGAAGAAACAGGAAATTGCTATGAAATCCTGATATGATGTAATTAGAAAAGTAAAAGAAAACATAAATATATATTACAAATATATGTAGATGCGTAAATGCAGAGAGCCAAACAAATGACACATAGCGTTACAACAAGATAAAATAATTAAAACAAAAATATGTCTAAAGTGCTCCAAAGCATACGTTTAGGTAGAGCGTAAGGGGAAATGTGCCTATATAACCCCTTAAAAACTTGTCTAATTTACAACTTGGATACACAATGATAAATTATACCAGAGTAGTAGTTCAGGTATAAGTCGTGCCAGATTAAAGCCAGCTAAGCCAGCTAAAGTTAAGGCCAGCTGCGAGGATTGATAGTCCCCCGGCAGACTCAAACACGTTGTGATGTAAAACAATCATTGTGAATACAAAGGCAATAGCACAAAGTATGAAGTGAAAAGGATATAGTCGTGTTTGGTATCAAAGAAACGACAGTAGTAAGGGGAGGGGGAGGGGGAGTAAAAAAATATCATATTTACAAATGTATAAAACAACTCAGCACGAAGGACAAATGCCAGTTGACATAGGTTAAAGTAATGATCTCACAAAGAACGAGACTGACATCGAATCAAAACTACAGGAGGAGGCTATGAGTCGAACCGATACAGATCTATCCAAATCCGAGGCACATCGAATCCAAAACTAAAAGTATTGCACAATATGAAAAATGGCAATGTTTAATAATTTTGATTTCGGTTATCACAAACATGTTGATTGGAAACCTGTTTACTTATAGATAATGTCAGTGGTATACAGGTTATTCACTAAAACAAAGGGAAATGTTAGGTCCTACGAAACCACTGAATGTTGAAAGAGGCCCCAACCATATTTTCTTTTCCACATTGCCGCATTTCCTATCTGATGAACGTTTTACCATGACATTGTAATGACTCATACAGTTTTGTTCTGGTTTTTATTGTCAAAAGGCGTTTATCCATAGACATACAAACAAATAATGATAATGATATGTATAACAGATTAATACGATAGTGCTATCATACCGTTATAACTGCCGTTGATAGGTGTATCTGTGCTCAGATCCACAATACCTCTGTCATTTGAACGAAACAGGCCGTGTGACCAGAAATGATTTCCTTCAACTTCTGTCGTTACCAAGACGATGACCTTGTCGCTAGGAGACAGTCCCATAACCTTGACAACGATGTCTTCGTCCATCAGACACTCGGGCTTGTCCACAGTCAGTCTAACACCTGTACTAGATGACGTCATATTTCCTATTGATTGCACTCTGTTGAATCGATACGTCTGTGAAAGTCTTGGATGGACAACATGCTTATGTGTACATAAACGCACAAGACGTCGTGTAGTCTCTCGAGCCTGCAAATCGTTGAAAGTTATGTTCTCTTAATTTCTTTACTTCTTAGATTCTCTCATCAACCACAAAAAGCTAGTCTCGCAACAAAGTCCTTTCCCCGGGACATTGATCAAAACAAAGATTTGTTATGTTATTATACTATTCTCGACGTCGTTTTGTCCGCCATTGTTGCTTGTTTCAAGTTTTCGGGAGATAGAATCGAACAGTAAAAAGACGTTATTATGGATACTATTTTACATGGGGAACATATATAAAACAAAAGGCCCAATGGGCTTGAATCGCTCAAATGGTTTTTATTTCACACCAGTAGCCTTCAAAGTGGGCCAAGGGTGAACATGTTAAAATGACTTAATTAAGCAACAGACCTTATATCACCACTCTTGACCTTTTGGTTATTGAGAATAAGTTGTATGAAGATTTTCTCACATTCGACGCCTGTGACATTGAACGTCGGTCAAGGTCATTCATTTAAACAAACTTGGTAGCTCTTTATCACCGTATGCTACTGGCCAGAAATATTTACCATAGGCCTTTTAGTTATTCAGAAGAACTCATTTTAACATTTTAACATGCTTTTCTCCAATGACTTTGAAGATGGGACAAAGTGCCCTTCATCCTAGCATGCTGCTTTCCAAATATCATCACCCTGGACATTTTGGTTATTTAAAAAGATTTTTTTTTAGGATTTTTCTAAACATTGGACCCCAGTGACCTTCAAAATGGGTAAACGTCATTCATTTGAACAAAATTGGTAGCCCTTCATCCCCGTATTATACTGGCAAAATATGATCACCATTGGGTTTTTTGTACTTCAAAAATAGTTGTTTAAATATTTTAATATATTTAACCCCAATGACCCTGAAAGTGTATCGGGGTCATTCATATGATTACACTTGCTAGCCCTTTATCCGAGCATCCTATTGACCAAATATTATCTCCCTAGGCCTACTGGTAAGAAGAACTCGACTACCTTCGGGCCAGGTGAGCTAAAAAGAATGAAGTATTAACTCAATGTTAGTATTCATATTTGCGTCATACCTTCGTATTAGATGGCACTTGGTCTGTGTGCATGTGGACATATTCATGTCACTCGGAGAAAGTCCATGCGGAGGATGTTCATAGGTGTAATCCTACACAAATGTGTGCTATTGACTAAACAGTACCACACTACATATCATATATCTAATCCTTAATATTTCAAAAAATGCTTTACTTATATTAATATCAGTTACATAGTTTTACATGTGGTCTTGTGGCATAGTTTAAACTTGAAATATAGTTAAGTGTTAATTCTAAGGTTTTATTTTAATTTTATTAAGCGTCTACTCCTGTAAGTGTTTGATTCTTTTTGTATTCTCCATAACATGTAAGTTTTATAATGTTGTAAAATTTGTTTTACTTTGTTAACAAAACGTTAGAAGACTGAAAGTTGAATTTTTAGTAATAGCTTTTTTATGTAAAAGTAAAATGTTTGAATATAAACTATTTTCATGCATTTATTGTATATCTGCAGTAGCTGATATTGATCAAATATCTTGGTACATCTATTGGTTTTGTCTTTTTGTTGAGATATTTTAGAAAGTAAGAACCAATGTAATATGTGGTATTTTATTTATGCATAGAATCCTGAGTCGACTAAAGTATTCATTTAACCATTTAAGAAGAAATTGAAACTTACAGGAGCTAGATGCTTATTATAATAATAAAACAATTAGAACTAAAACTTGACTGCATATTTAAATTTAACCCTGCTACAATTATATAGGATGAGAAATGTCTTAAATTGCGTAACACAAACATATCTTCAAACTTCAATACATGTGAAATCCAATCACATCTAACACACATACTCAAACCTTAATAGCCTACATGCGAGTGAAGTCCTGCACGTCGTAAACACTCTCCTAACGCTGAACTCGTGGCGAACATCGTGAATGTTAAACAAATACTGCGTCTACTCCAATGGGTCAGTTTTCAGAAAAACAAACACAACTCAGATTGTTGACTTGTGTTACTCTTTGTTACAATCTACAACAAGAGTTTCGATTGGTTCAGAAATATGCGTCGTTTAAAGAAATACTAGCGTTACGGTTAGCCTTCATTTTTGATAGGAGTTAGGTGTGGGCGTTGCTTAACAATGACATGTGATAAAGCGCCTGCATTCTAATCATTTTTAGATAATTTACTATTAAAATTGTACCAACTTCTTATAAACTTGATCTGAATATTATTGTAAACCAATTTCCCAAAACAATGTGGTAATTTTTATCAGGGTTTTACTTCATCATTGCTAGGTACACAATATCATTTAGTGTTTTCGTGTGTTTTTATCTTGTACATATTTTCTTTGATCATATTTAAGTTTTATCAATTTCAAATTCGAATTACAGTTTATTGAGACTTCGGTTTGCTATGAAGAAGATAATTTTTGATAAATTCGAATCTAAGACATTACAATATATACATGTAGTTTTGACTGTAGTCAAGCTGCATAAATTTGAGCTGACCTAAAATAACTTGTTTGGAGCATAGGAAGATAAGCAATAACCATAGAAAATGGTCACCTTATAGTTGAAACAAACGTAATGTCCCGAAGCAGGTATGCCTTACTTGGTACTTGTACGTGTTGCATTCGGTGTAAATAAACATAATAATAACTTAACTTATTGTAGGCGAGACAATATTCTTATTTGGAGCATAGGAAGATAAAAAAGTCACCTTAGTTATAGTTGAATCAAACGTGATGTCCCGAAGCAGGTATGCCTTACTTGATACGTACGTCGACGGTAGCCTGAACGCTCATCGTTACAGAGAGCAGATCTTGATACCACCTGTTGTTCCATTCATGACAGCACTCTTAGCAAGATGATGCACGTGCTCAAGTCGCACGCGTCAACATCGGTTTTCTTTGTCAACAAAGCAATAATATGCTTGATTGGCTATCGCTTTCCCTAGATCTCAATCCCATTGAGCACTTCTGTGATCAGTTGGACAGAAGGGCGAAAAATCGAAGACAGCAGCCTCAAGTGTTGGACCATTTGAAGACAGCCTTACACGAAAAGTGGCGAAGGATCCGTGTGAGGGGGTCTATAAACCAATTCATCACTTCCATGCACCGTCGTTGTCAGGCTGGGGTCAACATTTATATGTATATAATTTGTAAGGATTTATCTAAAGTTCTTTATAATTTATGGATATTAGTATTAGTAATAATTTTGAAACATGATAAGGCTTACAATCACCATTATACATGAAGCAAGAAGAAAATTATCACAATGTACAAAAAAATGAATAACGATGTCTGTGCAAATAGTCTAAAATGCAGACGTGAAGAGGTGCGTTTTGATGTTCTTCTTGAATTTGGCCAGGTTATTTGACTTTCTAATAGCAGATTGTAAGCTATTCCACAACGTGGCCGAAACTCTCCCAAAGCACCAGTTTCCATAGATCACAGTACGAGATTTTGGAACAACCAACAATGATTCTGACTCCGACCGCAGTGATCTTGACGGCTGATACAGGGAAACAAGCTCCTGTAGGTACTGGGAAGCTGTTCCATTCAGTGCCTTGTATGTTTATACCAACATTTTGTACTGCGACCTGTATCGAACAGGAAATATAGCACAGGTGTGATGTGCTCTCTCTTTGAAGTACGAGTAACCAGTCATGTTGCAGGGTTCTGGACCTTGTACAGACGACTAGTTAGTTTGTCAGATATATACCATAAAACAGGACGTTACCATAATCCGACCGAGAGGTACCAAGTGAATGCACCAAAATCTTGCCTGCCGCATACAGCCGATATTCCTTAGAGAATGAAATAATGTAACGTTTCTTGTGGTGGTCAGTCTATCTTACACACTTGGAGACATTTGTTGAAGTGAATATATAGGTATATGAACCTGAAAAAGTGATACTGACCGAAGCGAAGGCGGGGTTAATATAATGTTCTCAATTGTCAATTGACAATATCACTTTCTCATGTCCATAAAATCTCATACTCACCAAAAACATAAAGTTTTTAATTGTTAGAATAAATGCTTAATAATGATGTAGTTATCTTACAACAACAACTCATAAAAAGTGTACCAAGGAAAGTACTGCATTGGGCAGAGCAATCTACACACAGGTGTCGTCAATTACAATTACTTTAAAGTGTAAGGAACGAAATAATTTCTAAGATATCTTATATTTATCTATACAATGTCTCTATTATATGTGATATCTTATGTAAGATATGATATCTTATATACTTTATAAGATGTTTTATAAGATATATCATCTAATGTCATGAGACTTCGCTCCTTGTTATGTTGGCTTGCCATAAACTCTTGTCGTCACTCCTTCACAAAACGTGATGAACAGATATGTCTATGAAATATGAAAAGAAAAATCTTTTAATATGGGGCAAACATTTGCATAATCAAAATTAAAATCATATATGTTATATCTTATAAAATCGGCATCAAGATAGGCTTAGAATGTTTAGATAGTGCACGGAAGTAAAATATCAAAACTTCAAATTCATGAGCCATGTAACGATTGCAATGGAAAGAAATATGTACAAATGCCGTAAAAGGTGTCATGTAGGTTATGGAATCAAAGTTTGTAAATCAGACCAATGTCTTCCAAGTCTACAGAAGTGAAATGTGTTTTCATGACCGTGACAGCCAATTATTTATCACGGATGTATTTAAAGCCTGAACATTATATCAAAAAGTGCTCCACTGTAAATGAAGAGTCACATGCTTGGCATTAAGGGCGTAGCGTCCGTAGAAATAAGGTCCGGTTACGTGCGTTTAGAAAACTGAATTAGAAATACAACATAGAGATGCATTTTCGTGATAAACTACATTATAAGATGTTGTTGAAATCAGGATATTTACGTTTGCATAACCGATATCAAAGCAACGAATATACATTCTATCACGCACACTTGCAGAGGTAACCTAATTTCGTAAAGTGTTAGTATGACCGTCCACCAGCTAGGTATCTTGAAAATTCGGTAAAGTGTATGAAATTGCCGCTCTAGACCCGCTGGACCTAGGTAGCCCCCAGACACCTCGCCTTGGATTACACATATTTTTTGGCCAATCGTATAGTGGGTTTAAAAAATGTATATGGCAGTTTGGTATTGGTTTGCTGTGAATACACCTTTGGCTGCTCTGTCAGCATTTTCATAACTTGTATCCCGTCGTGGCTTGGATTCCATAAAGGAATGTTTTTTTTCATTTCTTTGAGATACAAGATATACGGATAGAGAGGTTTTGTATAAGAGTGTTATTTTGGGATCTCATAACTTCAGAATTTGAGGACCGATAGAGTGTCTGAACAAACCATTGCCTTTTTCTACGCGTTGTTCATCGATATAGTCAAGGACCAAACCAATGGCGCTTATTTCCGTGGAGAAAAAAGAGGCACTGTCAGGTAATCATGGCGGGAATGGTGAGCAAAGCAGCAGGTTGCTGCTACCCTTTTGCCATCTTTGGAACCATCAGTATAAAGCTGTGTATGATGAGGGAACCTCAAGCTGCACTCCCGAAAGGAGGATTCGTGTTCCTCGGGCAATGCACCGGACTTTGCAAATCAAGCAATGCAAAATTAACGTTATGTGTTTGCATAGTCCATAGTGAAACATCCGATATGTTGTATTTAGCTATGATATTCACATTTATGTTGAGTTCCTGCAGAAAACTGGAAATTTGGATACCAAATGTTGATATGAACGTTTGATTTTTCGCGAATACATTTAGGCATTTTGGGTTGAAAACTTGAGCAAAGACAGGATTTTGAAAATTTGGTTTGAAATCATACTGTACCCCAAGTGTTTCCCTTTGGCGATAACGATATGGTGCATTCGCCTCCACGTAAAGGCTTTTCACTGGTGTCACAAAACATCAAGTGATAGACGCAGCCCATGGTTGTATATGAATCCAGTATCTGCAGAAAGGAACAGCGTGCTGACACATAGACCATTGAACCATAATCGAGGTTTGATCTGATAAGTGATCTGTAAAGTCGTAAAAGCGTTTCACGGTCTGCATCGCAATCAGTATGCGAGAGAACTCGTAGTATGTTAAGCGCCTTTGATCACTTATCTTTCAGATGCTTTATATGTGGAAAAGGAGAGTTTCGAATCGAATATAATTCCAAGAAATTTGGTTTGCTAAACAACTGGGATTTTAATGCCATTAATTGCAAGATTTGGGTCACTTTGGGGTTTTCCTTTCTGACAAAAGTGCATGCAAACAGTTTTAGACTTGGACAATTTGAAACCGTTTTCATTTGTCCACATTTGTAATGTGTTTAATCATTTTGTGGTGTTACCGTTCTATTGTGTACATATTCTTTGATCTATGACAGATCAGAAAGTCATCCACGAATAACGAACCTTCTGTTCACTGGACGAGACATTTGACTATAACGTTTATTTTCAGACCAAAAAGTACCCAGCCTCGAGACGTTGACCCAGCTTTCATGCAGGCCTTACATATATATATATATACAATGCTCAAGTTTCAAGTGATGACCTCAAAGGGTTAGGACATGTTGACAAATTACATCGGGACACTAATTTGTGTAAAGTTTGTAAGTCAACCAGCTGTCGTAAATAAGTGTCAACTCATGATATCACTGTTACTAGCACAGGGTTGAATTGTCATCAGAGTTATCAGATTCCACAGGGTCCATAATTGTAACAATATGTATTATCACACCACTATGACTTTGAATCAAATAACAACGCTAGATGGCTATCAAAGATATCATGTTTTATTCATTTCTCATTTGAAATAAAACATTTTGTCATGATACCTCTTCTAATGTTAAAAGGTATATCGTTTACCCATATCATTTTGTGTGTTCTAGGTACACCATCGCGTCGACATTACTGAATGGTGACCTTCTGGGTATCTATGAACATCAAAAGTAAGTGGTGTCAAGTTAAGGTTCATTACGGATTTAATTTATTTTCTTCGTGTTTCGACTCCTGAATAATTATTGTATTTCTATGTCGCATATTGTAGTAATTGGTACTGAATATCACGTAATAGCGAATGGATATGTCCTAAAATGACGAATGGAGACATTCGTGAGCATTTCTCGCGAGATTTCAATTGTTCCTTGGTTGAATTGTTTTAGTTTTAAATCTTGAATATTTTATAACATACATGTATTTAATTCAGAATAAGGCGACGAATATTTAGATTAAATATAAAGCGGCAACATGGAGAGAATTTCGAAAGCTTCCAGACTTGACTTTAAGGATTTAGTGGTGTCAAATAAATCAAAGGTGTTGTTGAAGGACGTGTCTGGAGTAGCATCCAACAGTGACCTGTTAGCCGTTATGGGACCAACAGGTAACATCCAAACAATGCGATTGATACACATAGTTTGATGTTTGCTTACAGAGAAGAAAACAGTTAGATCAAAATTATGTATCGTACCATACCACTTACCAATATCTCGTGCCAAGTCATGTTTTGTTTACAGCTGTATCAATCTTTTGTGTATTCCTGTTGATATAAGTAGTTGGCTTAAGCAAGTTTGTGATCTTTTTAACTTGTTTGGCACATCGACGATTTGATTGCTATCAATAATCCACTGTCATTTTCAATGAATATCTTAATGGTGGACTAGAGATATAAGATGTATATAAATCATATTCTGTTCTCAACATATTGCTGAACGAAACGAAGCATATTCATAATGCGTGCTAATTGTTCTGTCAAATCATATGTATAATAACATTTGCAGTGAAACATCATAAAACCATAAAATATCTATTGATGTGGATAGAGGCATTGTCTCTGTGTTTGCTGCTGTCTATGATTTTTCAAAAATGCATTGCAATTTTAAAAAAAAGAATACGAATAGATCATTTCAAGAGTATGAATGCTGTGCAAGTAACTTCATGAATGAAAAAAAATGTTCCTCAAGTGAATGAAAAGTCTACATCATACATTTAGAAATATTTCACATTAAAAATATCTGATAAAATGTGTTGCAATTGTTTAGGAAAAATATATTTTTGAAAGTAGTAATACATCTAATAATACTACAAAACATAGTTTTCAGGTTCCTGTAAGTTGCTTGTAAACGATTAAAATGCTGATCAGGTATTATTTGAATAATGATGTAACAATGTTTGGTTGCAACAGAAATGCATCTTTTAAGGTATATTTGCAGTCTCAGTTTTGTTGTGATAATGGTACCTTCAAATCATAAACAGCAAGTGTAATTATCTTCACGTAATCCGGCTCTATCTAAATAACTACTGATCGGTGTCAACCACAGTAGCCAGAAATATGCATACAGACACACCCCGTAGACCATCATTATGCATATAGTTATAACCTGCAGGTCATAGTTATTATTACAATTCGATAGCAAAATGTACTTTTTTTATTCTATTTGCACTGCAATCAACCTCGTCTTTATTTCCCAATCGTGTTTATGTTGCTTTTAACCATTGCAATACACCAAAATCATATATTCGATTAACATTGTAAATATCTATTTTCATAATTTATCCTTATCATGCATTTTACTTCACAAGTGCCGATCGCTGTATAATTATATTCCTCTACATTATAAAGAGCTGGTATTCGGCGCAAAGTGTGGCAGTAATGCCCCTGCAGTATGGCGATTTTTCTCGGCGTTATATTTCATTTTTGTAGTTTGAATAATTCTTGAAAGAATGTCCACCTATAGTTCATTAGCCCTACTTCATTACGGTAACATTCATATCTGTTTTATACATGATGATTTTGGATAAAGGGTTGCTCTTGGGCAATTTATGAAGGTGGTGTTAATGTTCATTTGTCAAAACTGGAGCCCTTCATTGTTTTAGCATCGGCAGACATAGGGAATTACACAAACACTGATACGTGAATCTTAAAGGCCATAGTTGCTCTGTTCCCTTATAAGTATACAGTTACACCATGCAGATCAGCCATGTGTACAGTTAAAACATGCAGACCAGAATTGTGCACAGTTATCTCTCTAGTGTAGGCCAGCGTTATGTTTACATTATTAAACTGCAGACCAGCATTTGTGCCTGTACGTTTTGTTTTTAAAAGTAGCGTCATGTGATGTATCTAAGGTAAAATATCGTGATGATACAAGTAATGTGATATAACAGTTTGATTAAAAGTTATAAAAGATGTATGTGATTTTCACGGAATACGTACAAGAATGAATCAACATTATGGTTAAGCAAAATCAGTATGTACGTCAATGTTTTTATTATTAAATTCAATTTGCTGAATACAATCTATTACACATAGATGTACATTGTGGGTATTGTTTTGTAGGCGCTGGAAAAACAACTCTTCTCAATGTACTGGCTGGAAGAATACCACCTGACTCTGGGACAATCACTCTGAACGGGTCACCTTTAAACAAAACACAGCGGCGTCGCCTTAGTTACGTGTTGCAGGATGACATATTCCTGTCTAATCTCACATTGTGGGAGACACTTTACGTGAGAGTTTCATACGTAAAAACCAACTGGAGTACTTAATGTATTCATAGATATTAATTTGAATTCTGATTTGAAAAAATAAAATAAGGACAGTGATAATTTAAAAAGGCGCGTTCGATGTTTTTGCTTATCTTTCGCTATGACTCTTACATTTTTGTTTTACATTATTGCCTTCATGAAATTGATTACATGACTAGGCCATTTCATTCATTTTCACAAATGAAGCATTGTCGATGTGAACTAAATTATGACAGAATTATAAAATCAATTATTGCTAAGGAGTGTCACATAAATATGTCATTAGGAGAAAGTAGATAATGCCATGTTTGTGAACTTTCTTACGGCTTAGATAGTTAATATCTACACTAGCGAAATAACGCACACAATAAATTAACATGTAAAACGACGTTCTAAATTGTAATGTATTGTAATCATCTCCTATCAAAGCCGATTTTCATTGTTGTCCCTGTCATAGAAGGAGATTGTTTATCAAAGCAGGAATATATTCTGCATATAATCATAGTTACAGTATTTGTTTTCAAATATTGAGACTAGATGTCATCCTTAGTTTACAGCTATGATACGAATACCAGACGACGTACCTGAACAGGAAAAGACCAAAACAATACACAAAATTGTCGAATCGTTGGGGCTGCAGAAATGCCTACATACAGGTAAGCACTATTGCCGTATAAAGAAGACGTTATTAATACCGTACGTAACGGACACATCTAAATCTATATATTACTGATACTAAAAGATATTGACGTGGAGTTATATGCAAATCGATATCATCTCAAATAAGCACAGACAGAAAAGTTTAGCTTTTTAAGTTAAGTGTCCACAAAAAGTAGTTCGAGTTGTAATACAGCAATATCAAATATCTTGCTGTGTTTTGTCTGTAAATTAAAACACATTTAAAAAAATCTTTTCTAGCTATTGGTGACATTTACCATCGAGGTTTATCTGGAGGAGAGAAGAAGAGAGCGAACATTGCCTGTGAGCTACTGACAGACCCGGACATACTCCTCATAGACGTGAGTGGCTACTTTTAAATACATTGATGCGTTTTCGTACAAATTATATATGTTGATGAAAATGGTTTGTTTAAAAGATTGTTGTTAAAAATAATTTTGGGAACTGATTAATTGATGAGACAACAAACTGTATTCGAAAGACGACAACCTGCTGATAATTCTAGCCATGTACAAATGCTCTAAACCTCACAATATACCGGAGAACACGTTTGTTGCGGACGTTTTGGTAATTGAACACGTGGGTGTACAAGTATCCAATGTCATTGCTTCGAATATTAAAAGAAATCGACTAATTCTAATATTTAATTAATTTGTTTGATTATCAACCTATCGTAATTGAACGACAAACCTCATATTAATTTGTATATAAAGGAGCCCACATCCGGACTAGACTCTAGTACTGCGCATACTTTGATGGTTCAGCTGAAGAAGTACACCACAGAACACAACAAGACATTAGTGGTCTCAATTCACCAGCCTTCCAGTCAAATCTACCATATGTTCTGCACCTTATTGTTACTCGTGGAAGGGGAGGTAATATTTTAATTCTTTTCTGTCAACAAAGTAAGTATGAAATTGTTGAATTATGACAAAGAAAAATATAACTTTAAGATGAATCATAGGTTTTCTTTTCTTTTTTATAGATGGCATACTTTGGTTCAGCAAACATGGCCATAGATCATTTTGCTAGCCTTGGAATGGCATGTGGTCAACATCATAACCCTGCCGACTTCCTATGTAAGTGCACATAATTGGTGAATTCAGACAGTTTTTGCATCGATAGAATAAGCATTAATAATGTGAACAACATCTTTGTGAAAAGTGAATCACTACAATCAGCCACTGTTAAAAATAGTAATGAATAAAATCATACAGCAAGTAGACGACCCCAGCTTGCTTGATTACAAAGGAAACATTACATGTGTAGTTCTATCTTTTTTTCTTGTTTTTCGAAAGATTAAATACTGTATACTGGGAACTTTTCGCCGAAGTTTAACTGTTTCGCAATGAGGACGAATTAATCATAACAGCGAATACAATCCTGCTTCTTTATTACGATTGTTCTAACCACAGATTAATGATACGGAAACCTGCTTCGATTTTCCTGGGTCCCAAACTTCACAAAAGTCGCTTTAATCAACGTTTAATCACTTGCTCTGCTAGTTGTTTCACCAAACTTTCTAACTTTCATTTTGCCTCCATGAAACAAGAGTTACAGCTGTATCGTGACATGTTATACTTTGGAAACCGGATCAGTGGATGACGATTTTGAAGACTTCAAAAGGTCTTTTGATCAATCTTGAGCATTATATCCTCAATGTTTCTTCCATCTGAACAACAATTGACTTTTCATACCTTATAACAAACTGAAGGAACGTCCTCTTACTATGAGAGCTTTCTTTTCAACAAAAATATGGACGGCCATAGAAATATATAAGTAATTACTGTAAACAATATTTGAGCACATTTGTGACAACCATGCCAAAGACAATGATGATATATACTGAGAATCACAGTGAAATAAGGGTGGTCGGATGGTGCAGTGGAAAGCGCACTTGCCTTTCACCAAGGCACCAATGAGACCCCCCACGCGCTAACATCCGGGCCAACAATAGTGATTAATATAAGTTCAAATAACTTGTTTCATAACTGTTGTAAAATAAATAAAGAGTATATATAATATACTTTATGAAATAAATCTGCAAAAAAAATGGAATCCTACTTGCAATACATTTGGGTACCAACGGTTTATTGTATGAACATTAGGAATTAATACATTTCTGAAGTAAAAATAGAAATACGGGACGTAGAGTGAAAAAAGCATGATGATAAGTCATACACGATTAATATGATGACTAATTATAATATCTATCTAACCCATTTTTTTTTTATTTTTTTTTAAATTTTCAAACCTTTTACAATTTTAAAGTACCTAAAACATTAGTCTGTTAAATTATACATAAAAAAAAACCAATGCATAACAGCTTATACATGTGATAACAGACGGATGTCTGTTGAAGATTTCACGACGTTAAATATTCCTATATATATATATTTTCCCCTCAGTGTCCGTCAAAAATTAAAAAATAGATAAACAGACAACGAAGATTTCGGTATGCTTAAGACCATAGTTACACTAGTATAACAGTTACCTCCCTTTGTATCGTATTATCATTTTGTATTTTTATAGTTATGATGTTTGCTAAGTGTATGAAGAGTGAACATGTGAGCGTTCAGGCATACCAACAACTTCGTTTTTCTTTTTTCTGTTTTATACATGTATACAAATATACTTACCCATATCCTTATAGTGGAGATGTTGACGCCCGATATGATCGCAAACAGGAATGAACGACACAATAGGAGGGTCCAAAGGTAAAACGTTATTATGTACCATTTAGATTTTACAATCGAACAATTGCTTCGAATTGTAAGTCTGTTGATGTAACATTGGTAATTATAATATAATTAATATGAGATATGCATAGCTTCTGTAAACGCCATTATACCAGAAAAAAATACATATTTTTGCACATAGACAACACTTTTCAAATGACCCCAATCAGGATTCAGCGATGCACTTCTATTACATTCGGGATTACAGTGAAGAATATATTCAATGGTTACAGTTATTCGTGCTATGCAATTACAGCGAAAAAAGGTCTGAAGTGTGTTAACCGCTTGAATATGTACGTTCACAGTTGTCAAAAGTGAAGCAAAACACCAATTGTACTGCGATGCATCTTTGTCATGAATCATTCATATTTTCCAGTTTACAATTGCATGCGGAAGATGCTTTGTCGCCTGGCAAAGATCATAGCAACAAATATACTGTTACTGGCACTGGAAGTGAAGGAAGGAAAGAAGGAACAGCAGTAGCAGCCGTGCTAGGTGAGGATCATATCGGGGTGTCTGTAACACGTAACGAATATGTATGTATTTAAAAAAGATCATGATCTAGAAAGAGGCCAACAAGATCAATGATATACAGAGTACCTGCCAATTCTTTTATTTAAACTGATCTACAATGGATTTCAAATACGTAGGCAATATGAGTGTCAACTGCATCAATATTTAATATTATATTTTAGCTTGCAATAAACGAAACCGCAAAAATTAAAATCGGATATAAATGCCTGTTTTTTATGAATTGTTCATTATCATACAGACGTTATAATCAAGCATAACATTAACAACACATGGATTACAAAATTGTTTAGTTATGCATAATTAATTACAGTTACTTTGGACATAATTCAACTATGTTGAAGGCTTTCTTAAATTGAATAGTACGCGTCAAATCTTTGGCACTGTTTTATTTAAGGATTGAATCTTACTTTGGTCGATTTCATGGGGTGCTGAATTGACTTGGTCTTGAAAGAAATTTAATGAACTGCGAAGCAAGCAGTTTCACGTTGAATTTGTTTCAAGACAAACTCAATACAGCACCCCATAAAATCGACCATAGCAAGATCCAATCCTTAATTTTCAACCAACATGCGTTTTTTCAATACTTCGAACTTGTGAAAGACCATTTGATAGTTTGTCCCATATTTTGGAGCTTGTGCAAGTCTACGTATTTACGTAATGCAAAACAAAATGTGGTTCGTCATTGAAGGACCACTAACAAAATGATGTATGTTGATAGTTCAATACAGCGCAGGCTTATCTGCGAGTCTACGGCAGCCCGGCATCTTCGTACTAGCTAGAAGTGGAGAACAGCTAAATTTCGAGGTTCTACATCTTCTTGAATGTGAAGCTGCAGTTATTGAGTGTCGAATTAGACCGGAAACCAGACGTGGCTTGAAAGGACGAAACAATTTGATATGGCATTTCATATATGTATATGACGTGACCACATAGATGCGTGATCCACGTTGTTTTTGATTTGTACCGGGGGCTGACACTGACACGAGAGGCAGAATGGGTAGCTTGAGGGAGAATTTCTAGGGCAGTAGATGAATTGTCACTACCACTAGGCAACCGTTGATAATATTTTGCTGATTGATCGTTCTTTTGGTTGCTCGAACAATTTATTGTGTAGCTTTAATAAAAATGTAAAATCTTATACAAATGGTATGCTCTTTATTTAAATATGTCAATGGTTATCTCCCTTCGCAAAATCTGAAAATATGTATTCATACGTTCATCGGCAAATGAAACAGGCAACATTTGGTAGTTGCACTGAGTCCAACTTGAATAGAAATTGAAATATTGCAAAATGTAGTTTATCGTAGAGTTTATACCTGACTTACTTTTTAGGAATTTCAGCCTCGATGACGTCATCCTCCGATTGCAATATGGCAGATCAGACCTATATTGTTGAAGAAGAGGCAAGTCGACGATGGCCCACATCACTCTGGACCCAATTTAAAATGCTCAGCTGGAGATCATACAAGCAATCTAAAGGAAGGATACTCCACAAGTTTGAGCTGGTGTTAGCTGGTTTCATAGCTGCTTGTGCTAGCCTCTTGTTCTTCCAGATAGAAAATTCGATTAACACCATCCGTGATAAAATGGGCTTGGTAATAAATTAATAACGTATCGTCATTTTTTTCCTCATAAGAGCAATTGCATGATAGTAATAAAAGTATCACATACGCTGTAAACGTACATTTTAGCAGTAATACAAGTGAAGGACTGTTCGTGCTTTAGATTGCGAACTGAGTTATAATTACGCTCATTGAAGTTTTGTTTCTGTATATTGTTTTATGCTGCATACACTGTAGGTGCGCCAATTCATATATGCAATCTTTTAAAGTTCTATTTTGCGCTAAGATTTGAGTCCGCAAAAATAATTATATTAAGTGACAAATGCTAAAGATGTTCAAGAATATTCAAAGCAAATTTGCATTCACAAAAAGATGCAAACTAAAGGCAGTCCAATGCATCAATATGATAAAGTTTGAAATTTTGCATATGATGATCAAAATAATCCAAATTGAACCTTTTCTGGCTTGAAGGTGATGATGTCCTTGTCGTTCTGGTCCTTTAGAATGTTTGTCATCACTGTTGTAGGATGTAAGTAAGATTCTTGTGCATCTAGTTAAACTCTTCACTTATGTTTTTTCTATGGCTCAGTGACTGGTAAGTTGATATCTCTCGCGAGTAATTGAGTGATTTACATTTGAATTATTTAATTGAGAACTGTACTGATTAAAACCATTCAAAACAATCTATGCACAAAGCCAGAGAAAGCCATCCTAGGATGTCAGCATCTCTGTCTACAGCACACCAAGCTTGGACAGCATCAGCCTTTGCTGGTTTCTGGGGCTAAACACAATTTAATTATCCCATGGCAGCGAGTACATTAAAAATAACTGCAGTAATGTCTGATACTGAAAGAGATTAAATACAAACTTGATCATTTGATCTTGGGAATAACATTTTGTAAATTTGGTGTTTCCCTTTCGTATTACCCTGGGATGATAGATTTTTGACACACCTTGATTTCTCTTTCACTACTTTCGTCGGTTTAAACTTTGTCAAAAAGCTGCACTCGTAGTTATCTGACGGGACCCAGTTTCAAAAGCAAATAGAAGCAATCGTTTCAGAAAATAAGATGTAGGTTATATTTAAACATGTTTATATTACTATTTTTATTTATAAATGTTTTCACATGGCACTGTATTTAATGGGCATTAGTGTCTAGACATGCTAATGGTAAACCCAAGTTCAAGTCTTCACAGCCAGCGCTTTGCTTCGTAGTTGTCTCTTAATGAAACAATGTAATATACAATGTCTTCAGTGGAAATGATATATATTTTTCATTTGTATGGTCATACTTTGATATGTATTACTTGTAAAAGATATAAAGGTATAACCCACATACGTGAAACATATTCGTTATTACTGATACTCTATTTTTTATCAGTTACTGGTGAGCGGGCTGTTGTAAGGAAAGACCGAGCTGCCGGAGCCTACCGAGTATCGGCCTATTACCTTGCAAAACTTACCAGCGAGATGCCCCTCCTTTTGGTAATCCCCTTCCTGTTTAACACTGCAGTTTACTGGTTGACTGGGCTCGGAGGAGTGGATGTCTACGTTGTATACATTTGCATTGGTATCTTGAACTGCTTATTGACACAGGTGCTTAGTGATTGATCTAGAATCGAATTATTGAGATGTAAATATTCATATTTATTTAAATCAGTTGTGTTTCAATTTAGCTCTCAGTAAACACACATTTGGCTCTACAATATTTTTCATTCAGCATAAACATTGTTTTAAGCCGTGTGAAAAGCGTGGCGATTTGTATTTCCGGGTCATGTACTTTCCCTTTATTGATAGAAACCCCCATTCTACGGCGTTTACATGTTGCAGTATAATCGGTAATCAAAAGTATTTGTATCATGATTTCCATAATAGATGTCGACTACTGACGGATTTACAACACAGAGCTGGGGCAAGTTGTGTGGTTGCTGTCATGGTCACATCGACTAATATTTTATGTCTCCTTGTGATATACAATGTATATATTTTTGATAATGTAATTATTTCGTTCTTACTTTGGGGGGATCACTTTGTCTATTCTGATCTAATTATCCCTCTGCTTTTGTATTAAAGTCTCCGAGTAATTTATCCTTTATTCCTATATAGCGTTTGCTTCTTCGGTTATGAATATGAATGACGTTTTTTCTACACTTTTGTAATACCCTTTCTTTATACATTTACAGCTATATGGCTTTTTTTCATCGTCAGGAGATGATTACAATTACATGAAGCATAAGAAAATCATTTCTCGCTGAGTTTGATATCCTTCACGGCTTGCTTTGCATGCGTCGTTTCAAGCTCAATTAAATGGCAAGATGGTCTTCTAAGCCGAAATGGTTTAATTACCGTGCTCGTGTCATGCTTCCAACTGTTAATAGATTCCATGCATACATTGATAACAAAATAGTGATGGTATTTTATTAATATTTCTGATTCAGAGTTTGGCGTATAGCTTGGCCGTGATAACGGACGTCCGACTAAGCCTGCTGACTTGCAACGTCATCTCATTAGGTGGAGTCATGTTAGGTAGATAATAATATCTAAATGATACACATGGTATAAGGATTTGATAACAAGTACAGAGTATTTATATTTACCCGTCTAAATGCTTTGTAAATCATCAATATTGTAATAGAGGTCTGCTCTAACAGGGATATTCTCGTGCTCCGCTCAGTATATTTTTATAAAAATATGTTACCTTGCATGTATCTGCAGTTTTATACGTCATCACAGAAAAAGAGCTTAATTATCAAATACAGGGTAGGTAACCTACTGATCTAGTCTAAAAATTACCATTTATAATGTGAAACGTTAACGCTTGAGGGAGAATGGCGATGCTTTTTATTGTAAATTAGCATGCATACTTTAGTGTTATTAATTAAGAATAAGAATTAGTAAGTTTATGCATAATCACACAAAGTATTAACTTGACGGATTATTAATCATTTCAATAGTATGATATTTACACTTCAACTAATCTTACTGACACAACAATAACAATACATCGTTCTCTCAATGAAATACTTCGTTATAATGTGTTGTTTCCTGTTTAAAGGAGGTTTCCTCAACCTCAACCCTCCTGACTGGTTTCAGTGGGTGAAGTACGTCACACTTGTCCACTACCCCTACGCCGCCACTATGACGTACATCGTAAAGGATATGGCAGACGTTTGGTGAGATACATTATATTTATGGAGTCCACCTGCCTAAATCCGTATACATCAGTACGAATAGATGGGTTTAAACCAGATTTGGTGTAAAGCATTCTTGGGCAAAGGTGATTCAATTATGTTTAAATGGAGGTTGTGGCCAACCTTGGGGCAGAGGGGTAGGGCCCTTAAGGGGGAAATTGAGGTTAATCTTTAAAATCCTTCTCCCTCTGTACGATCGGGGGATAGAGCAAAGGGGGCTCACTTTGTATAAACGAAGAGATGGGGTCCCTGGGGGCAATGTGCAGGGGCGTTTCTAGGATATTTGAAAGAGGGGGCGTAGAATGAAATCTTTTGCCGAGCGAAGCGAGGCGAAAAATCTTTTGGACCCTTTTTTTGCTAAAAAACATAACATAATTGTGAAATTTTAAGGTCTTTTGACGCTTTTGTTTTGGCGTCGGCATCTTTGACGATTTCACTATATCACGTGGTCAACAACAATGGATACTAGGGGAATCAGTATAAAAAGAAATCAGAGTATGTGTTTAATTAATGAATATGATAAATTGCCATATTCAATACAATATTAGCAGATTACGATAGGTTTTTCTTTTTTTTTTGAAAAGGGGGAGGGGGGCGAACGCCCATTACGCCCTCACCTGGACCCGCCCCTGATGTGGTAGGGTCCAATAGGGGGAAAATGGCATAAATATTTCAAATTCTCTAGACTATATTTAAGCACGGAATTAGATTAGATTAGATTATTAGATTATTGTTATCCAAGTCCGTGATTTTAGTCACCTCTTCATCCTTGATGTTTTTAGCCAAAGTGATGAAAGCTCGAGATATATTCACTTGATTATCGGGGATAATCCAATAGAATAAATGAACATCTTCAAAGTTTTGGATAATGTATCCGATACCTTTCAATGAAGTGATAAAATACTACCGAAAATTGGAGGTTGCATTTCTTCTGCTAATCAGTATATATTAAAATTTCCAGGTGTAACCAAACTAGTATGGATATCTTCTCCAAGTGTCAAGGCAACACGACAGGCGTACTGACATCACGTGACATACTGTTGGGAATCGGTGTGGATCTACCTATCTATTGTTACATCATGACAATCGTGTTCGCAGTCTTGATTTTTTACGTTCTTGGTTACCATTCATTGAAATGGAAACGAGTATGATAAAGAATCACGCTATCCGGAAACTCGGCTCGGCTGGAGTTGGATGCCTTTCCATGCTGTACAACATATATAACCTTGTATTGTTGACCAAGTATACCAGGAAGTATATATTCTTAAATGGCTGTAACAACCACAAGACACTCTAGCTCTGTGATCGGCCATTTCTACACCTCTTTCTGTAGTGCTCGACCTATGTTCTACATTATAATTGTCACCGGGTCGCAATGACAACAGTGGTCAGGTTGTTTTGTTAAGTGTTTGAATATCTAATATCAGGATAAAAGAAACCTAAAAAGAAAGGACACACATTCTTACTACAATTTACATTCTTGGAAGTACAAGTGTTTATGTTTAAGTGGCACCGTGTATTGGCCGGTTGCACGACTGGTCAAATGTCAATCACAGGTACTAGCCTCGTCTGTCAACACACTTGATTATAGTATAGGTGTATTGACAGACGAGGCTAGTACCTGTGTGTCAATAGGTCACGTAAGGTCAGCTTGCCCGTTTTGCGTGACAGCGTTAAGTATATAGGGAGCAGGTGAGATACTATTCTGCAACTTGTATACATGTACTGGATGATGTCGTTCTTAGTAAATAAAGTATAAAGAGACTCATCTGCGATATCCAGGGGTTACGCTCACTTTCGCTCTCTACACCCATGGAATCATCCTCGAAAGCCAGGGGTTACGCTCACTTTCGCTCTCTAAACCCCTGGAATATGTCATAGAAAAAGGGTNTAATGATACTTAATGTATCTAATATATATATTCATTAATGTATATATAATAATAAATAGATTGCTCCCCGTTCCTGCCCGTTTCTGTCCGTTTCTGCCCGTTTCTGCCCGTTCCTGCCTGTTCCTGTAAATCGTCTAACCGATAGAAAAATATAAAAACACTGATCAATCGCTAGGCTGATACCTGTCCTTTGCAGATTACAAAGGAGACGCTCGAATTCAAAGCCTGTCATTTTTTTACCGTAACGTGACCGCGAGATTCTTTTGATGTACATCAAAGCATAGGCACTTGACGCTTTGTTATGTCAGATTTTTTTTTTTTATATAAGTATTCATTTTTTATTTTCAAAATTATTATCCGAGAATTATCTGAATAAAAAAAAGAAATGACATTTTTTTTTTTTGTACATGCATTCGAACCAATGAACTTTTTATTGGTTCGAATGCCTGTACATTAAAAAAATATTTATATATTTTTGTCATTTCTTTTTTTATTCAGATAATTCTCAGATAATAATATTGAAAAAAAAAATGTATACTTATATAAAAAAAAAAAAAAATCTGACATAACAAAGCGTCAAGTGCCTATGATCAAAGGATCGAACTAGTCTTCTTGTCTCATCAACAAGGTGGAGCACACCGAGCCTTCAATTTTGCTATGACATATTCCTGGGGTCAGCGAGGGAAAGTGAGGCCTACAATAGTAGAGAGGAGCTGTATTTTAATCAGATTGAATTACCAGCGACAAGCTGGGTACGTGCGGGTGGTATCCCGACGGAAGGTACGCAACATCATTGTTTATGATGTATAATCTGTTTAAATTTTTATTATATAATAATTACAGATGAAAGAAATACATTCTGCCTTTTGTACCAATATAAAAATGCAAATAAAAACATATTCAGTATATATTTAATAACATGTGGTTGTTATATCTGTCTATTTTCCTTCATTGAAAGCACAAGCAGCATGAAACAGCTTTTCCCTATTCATACACAGCAAGGCACAAAATGTTTTTGCAAGTACATCTGTATTTCAACACATAAGATTATTGTTACCGTGATAAAAATCCATGTAAGCAATATTTACATGAACATCAAACATCATTTGATTCCAACAAAAGCAATTTACTGTATTCTGTTTAATTATTAAAACTGATCTTAAGACAAAATTATTAAATGCCAAGCAACATGGCGAGGTAAAATGATCTTGCTCATGAGGGTAGTGTATTTGGGTGATGTGAAAGTAGTTTGTGATTTTTGTTTCATTTGTGCCATACATTTGTAATTCATTGTATTAATATTTGCTGCACCTTTTTTGCGCTTCCCTGGTGATTGCAAATATAGCAAAGTTAAATCCCCCATGAATATAACCAACCGTACTGTATTACATAACAAGAGGCCCATGGGCCTTAACGGTCACCTGATATATTTATACAGAGAGTTGATTTTATTTTTAACATGAACAGAAATATTATTCAAAGTGACAAAAAACAATAAAACCACCTTACTCAATATCTAGCATACAGATTTCAGACTAAAAAGGATTTGAAACTAGCACCTCTGATTCTTAACAAGGAAAATGAAGAAATTTTAGCACACTGACT